CTCGCAGAATCTGCCTTTTTCACAAAAACGGAGAGATAACATTTTAACAAAGGTTTTTTTTTATATTGAAGCAGCCGCGCTGGCAGAAGCCTAAATGCCGGAACACCGCGGCTGCTATGATGATCCCAAAGAAATTTTGTTAATACGATTTTGAACTGCCTAAGGTTAGTAGAACTGGGAAAAGCTTCCTCGGGGCAAAGGAGCGGTCGTATCGGCCAGTTCTGGATGTACGAAATTCGGCACGGTTAGGATGGGACGCCAAAGTCAGGCGGGTCTGTCTGGCAGGCACATCGCGCGGCGGCATCATGGAAGATAGCTCTGCGATAGAAAAGAGCTAGATCGCCGACGGCCCGCCGGTGCGAAAGAGTCCCGAGACTGTCAGTTAGAGAAGAGTCATCGATCACTCGGACCGCCCTCCTCTGTACAGCATCGAGCATGGATAATGTAGTCGGGGTGGCAGCACCCCAAACGTGTGAGCAATACTCGAGGCTAGGCCTTATCAGGGCATTGTATAGGTAAACAAAAACAAGGATGAGACGTTGACATTGTTGCCATAGCATGCTCTAAAAATAGTCATTATGTTGCCCAAAAAAAACAAGTTGTAGAAATTATTTTTTCAGGATGTATCTCTGAGACATTGCTAGAACTTTATGCAGCTCTGAGTGCAGATATCTGTGACGACGGTATCAGCTCCTGCCCACGAATGCACCACCGATGCTCGAAGACGTGATCCTAGTGAATCTACTAAATAATTTACAGCAAAAGAAAATAAAGTGTTTCTTCACTTTAAAGCAGTGTTTAAAATAATCAACTCTTTGAGATAAAATGTCAGAGTATGTGTTAATTATATGGATAATTTCCAGTTGTCAGTATTGGCACGTACACATTTGATCACCAAAATCACGCTAACTTCCGTGCCTTTGTCATTATTACTTTATCATCACGTAGATAAAGAGTTCATATTTAACTAGTACTCGGTGGAAACACACAATTGAAGCTGATTTTCGAGGTTTCGCTCTCATTTTGCTTCAAACAATGAACGTCTTCAATATTTTTTCTGACAAATTCATTTCAAACCAAAAGAAACTTTATAGAGAATGACATTCGGCTATTGCTTTTCAAATTTAGGATGTTGTGGGTTAGGTATTTAGATATTTATTTATGTTCTCATCGCCATCCCTACTATTCGGGTCAGGAACATAAAAATTTATCACATTTACAAGGAGTACTGGAGTATTGCCCCGATACATGAACTTTTTCAAAAATCGCAGGCTTATCCTGCCCTATCCGTGCGGAAATACATTTCAAAATGTTCAGGATAATAGAGGTTGTTCAACTACTATATTTTTTATTAAATGTTCCGATAGACCTACATACTCCCCTCTGAACGTCAAAAAACAAAGTTTGACCAATTTTTTTCAAAAACTGCAAAGCTTCGTCCTTGGAATGCGAGGTTGGTCGCAGAAGTACCCGGCCTAACCTAGAGATGGCGATAGTTGTTTGAAAAATATCATTGTATTAGAAAGTATGCAACCTATAAAGCATATGTGTCAAGTTTGAAGACGCCACGTTGTTTAGTATTTGTTTGGCAGCTATCAATACTGAACGTTTTCAGTGAATTTGTGAAAATGGAGAAAATTGGTCATCGTTATGTGGTACAATACTTTTATTTCAAAGGCCTCAGCCCAACCAATATAAAAGATGAACTAGATTCTACTCTGGGTGAGTCTGCTCCTTCGTTTACAACAGTAAAATATTGGGTAGCAGAGGCAACGAGGCCGTATGAGCTGCCAAGACGAGCATCGCAGTGGTCGATCAAATGAGGTGACGACTCCAGAAATGGTGAAGAAAATTCACAAAGTGGTACTGAATGATCGTCGACTGAAAGGGCGCGAGCTATCGACATAACAGGCATTTCAAAAAGTGCGGTTCGTCGCTTATTATCTGAAAATTTGTACATGAGAAAGCTGTGTGCAAGATGGGTGCCGCGATTGCTCACAATCGAGCAAAAACAGTGTCGTGAAGATGTTTCAATTGAGTGTTTAGCGAAGTTTCACAGCAACAATGCAGAATTTCTGCGTCGTTTCATAACTATGGATGAAACATGGGTCCATCACTTCACACCCGAGACAAACGAACAATCAAAGCAACGGACTGAAAAGGGGCAACCGGCTCCAAAGAAGGCGAAGACCGTTTCATCTGCAGGCAAGGTTATGGCGTCGGTTTTTTGTAATGCGCGTGGGATAATTTTCATTGACTATCTTGAAAAAGGTAAAACTATCAATATTATGCGATCTTATTGCAACGTTTGAGCGATGAAATCAAACAAAAACGGCCGCATTTGGTTAAGAAGAAAGTGTTGTTTCATCAAGACAATGCACCAGCTCACAAATATTGCAATGGCCAAAATTAACGAATTAAGGTTTGAATTGCTACCTCATGCACCCTTTTCACCAGATTTAAACCCCCTCGGATTATTTTCTGTTTCCAAACTTGGAAAAATGGCTCAGTGGTCAAAGATTTTCTAACGATGAAGAAGTGATGTCGGCAATTAATGGCTATTTTGAGGAGCAAGACAGTCCTTATTATTAAAAGGGTATAGAACTTATTGAACATCGCTGCGAAAAGTGTATAGAGCTCAAAGGAGATTATGTTGAAAAATAAATACATTTTTTACAAAATGTGTTTTCTTCGTTGGGTCGGGTACTTCTGGGACCACCCTCGTAGTAGCAACTTTGTGTGAAAATTCCATGAAACTCCCAAGCCGGGCCAAGGATTAACGGACAGACAGTCAGACAGGCAGGCCTACGGAAATGAGTGACGTGACCAAAAACACAATATCTCATTTTCGAAATTTTCGCGATTACAATACTTCCTCGCCCAGTGGTCATTCATGTTAAGGTGCATCCATCAAACATGATTATGAAAAAATAATAAGAAAGAAAAATATCTCCACGATTCCGACTATTAAAAAACTGCAAATTATACTGAAAAGCATTACAAACATCATATATTACGTAACTGTCAGTCACAGAAACGCAATTGATCTTTATTGTTTGCTTTCAGTAAATATGGGAACAATAGCACCCTATTATTTCAAATTGACTAACAAAAGGTTGAAAAAGCAGAATGAAAATAGCGTCCAAACAAATAGAAAATAATCGGGAAATAAGTGCATACAATTTCTGTGGCAATGTCAATGTCACTAGGGTGATTAAAGTGTGATATCACATGCACCAGTTGACATTAGAGAACTACATTAGGATAATTCCATCAATACTTTACATATGATAACACAGGAAATAAGATAAGATTTATACCGAAACCTCAACCTTTCGTACCGGATTGTGTCCTTTTTTCCATCTCGGCAGAGATCGGCTTGACACTCTGAATTCCTGCATATAGAGTGCTGTCACCAGCAAAGCCGTGGAGTGGATTCATCTTACAGGAAAGTAGGGGAACACCTGCGTTGAGATTGTGGGATAAAGAGGAGAACCCGTCAATTCATTGGCTTTAATTTTAACAAACACAAAACTAATATCACGTTTCCTTGGGAAACAAAAGTTTATTTACTTTACTGTCAATTGACATTAATTTATTTTAAAGTTTTCGCTTTAAGATATGCCAATACTTTTATTACATAGGGTAAAGTAGGGTAAACCGTACCGATTTTCAAATTTTTGACCACTGTACTGAAAAATTAAACTCTTTATTGATAATATTAATACAAATAAGCATTTAGCTTTCTATGAATCAAAAATTCAACTGAATCAAACAACATCTTAAGCAAAAAAATAGAAAAATAGAAAGGCTTGCAAGTGGTGCGATTAAGCGAACAGGTTGGTTTAATCGTACCATCGGTTTTTAAATCGTATCACTAATTTGATATTTACAGTTCTCACACACATATTTTTTTATTTGCTTTTTGGTTCCTGCGCATGATGTGTGGGCCCATTTTTCACATTCAATACATCTCACCATATCTTCAATATTGTTTACATATAAAGCAGTACCAATCAGTAGGATCATATTCAATTTGAGCCTTTACCTCGGCAGGTTTTGAAGTGGAAGATTTTTTTTTACTTTTTTGGTTGATTTTTGCCTTTGGTTACGTTTGTTTCCTTATAGGGCGCGGTGCTCAGAATGACGGCTGGTTGAGAAAATTTTCGTCTATTAGCGTAACCTTTATTCTTGGGTAGAGGGTAAATTTCTTCAATAGAGGTATTGAGACCTGTTGTGTTGCATTTTTTGTTTTGTTCAGTACTATCGCTGTGAACTGGTAGCTCAGTAGCATCGTCTTTAGGCTCAGGAGTCGTTTCACGTAGATTTTCTGCCTCTGAGTCCTCACTTGCCTTTTCTGAATAATTTTCAAGCAAGGCATTAGCAGCGATAAAATCTGTCTCAGAAAATACAGTGCGGTCAACCGGCCATATTCCAATTCTTTTGAAACCATTCATGATAGTGCTTATTGATGCTGTTTTTGCATAGGCATCAGAGATCAATCCAGTCATGTTGTATTGAGGAACAGTGTTACCAGGATTGCTTCTTAAAATATTTCTAGACCTTGAGAAAAATAGGAGCTTAGGCTCACGTCTAGCGTCTGCAACCGATTTGTCGTATGGCCAGGAAGTTGCAGTAGTACAATTCCATGACTTTTTGCTCTAGATTTTTAGAGTGCGTTGTGTGGCCATCCAGTAAAACTTTTTTTTTCGGTACTTAGTTTTACGTACTCAATGAAGTGCTGTAACCATTTAACAAAAAGTTCACTATTTATATAGCCAGTATCTGAAATTGCAACAATAGTGCCAGGTATTGCACCTATAGTAAGCTCTGGAGCCATGCGTTTTCTCTTAAAAATTATCATGGGCGGTACAGTTTGACCTGCAGCACTGGCAGAAACGACAACTGTGGTATTTACGCCCCTTTTACCACTTGCTATGCCACCAACTTGATGCTTTCCTCTACGTGCAATTATTTTTTGATTCCGTTTCATCAACATTTTAAATTTTTTGAGCCATAAAACCGTTTTCATCAACACATTTTTCGAAAATATCGAAAAACTCATGGACGATATTTTGGTTGGATCTAGTTGCTCTGGCCATGGGGATTTTCTCTCGTTGTCTAAGTGGCAGTTCAGGTTGTCGGTCCATAAAAGAATAATACCCTCCTTTTCCCGCCATTTCCTTATTGATATTGAAATGGTGTGGAATATCATTCCGAACAGCTATTTGAAAAGCCAATCGTCGAACATCCCGAATTGTTACACCAAAAAATCTTTTTTCCAGCTTTACAATATGTTTTGCCAATTCCATTTCAATGTAAGGGCTAAAAGTTGTGTGTCGACCCAAAGACTGAACATCTTCATTTGCCTTTTTATTTAAAGAGCGCAAGTGCCTTCTAAAAGTCGGCTTTGGAATGTCTGCAGAACCCTTTAAAACCACACTAGTTTTGTTTGTATGTTTTATCGCATGGTCCATATCTTCTGAGGTCCATCGACAGTATTCCCGTTTTATTTTCTTATTTCTTACTTTACTAATATTCTTTTTTAAAAACCTGTAATAAAAACTGTGTTGAAAATCGAAGCAAAAGGCCTAGTTGGGTAAATCGTGCCGGTACGATTGACAAAACCGTGGGTGGTACGATATACAGAACAAGCACGAAATTATGTTAATTAATTAAATTTAAACCATAATAAACCCTTTTTCAATTAATTACTACAGCAACAACTAACTACATGTCCATAAAATACGTAAAAAATTTATCTTAAAAATATCTAATTACCAAATGTAAAAAAAGCTTATGAATAGGAGCAAAAAATAACATGAACAACACTGCTTTTAATTTAACCTCAAACTGACTTACAGTGTGGAGTGAACTGCAAAGAATAATTTGGGCGGGGCAAATATAATCATAAATTTTGACAAGAGGAGTCACGGGATTATTTCAAAAATGGTGGTGCTACGATTTACCCGGCGGTACGCTTTATCCGACTTTACCCTACGTTACATATTACAAAACAAAGGGGTTGACGTAATAATCTTAATGTCAAAGCGGCCCAGATGAATCTATTGTCAGTCTCATATAGACTTTCTAAAGAACGGTCACCAGCCTTGATCCTTTAGTCCGACTCCATAGCCTTGACACAGGGCCTTGCATGTGTCTTTCCGCTTTTGGATTTGTGATTTCTACTACCTAAAACTTAATGCGTCTATGGCTGCCTGGCTGTCTGACAGGTGGCGATATATTATGTTGTGTTACTTTGTTCCATTTTGGTAAGTTTTGAAGAAACTACGAGGAGTGGTTGGATATTCAACTGGTTACTGGTTGAAGAAAAATATGCCTAAGAGTGCATCACGCATATTGTATTATAAGTGCGGAGAGAAGAAACTGAGAAGCATATTATTTATAACGTTCCTTTCCACACTGATAATATCTAGAATACAAAGGGAAAGTCCTCATAAGTCGATTCCTATATACCTTCCATATCTAATCCATGACTATATTTTAGATTATGTGACACTAAGTATAAACAATGGAAATTTTCCACGAGATAGGTATTATGACTTCTGATAGAGATAGCATGACGATACGCAGGGTATCTCGTACTTTTCCGTTAATTAGTATTTTCAGGGTACATTACATATAATTTAATTATTCGATATCTGAGGGAACAGGGCTGTATTTCAAACTGCACTAACAGGTCTTGAAGATATCACACAAGTTATAAATAAGGTTCGATGACAAGCTATACGTGAAAATGACATCAAGTAGATCGGTTTAGATGAAATTCGTAGTGTTTTTAAATCTACCCCAAAATCAATCCAACCAAAGAGAGGCAACCATGGACAGCTGTTTCGTGCTTTTTTGGCAACTCATCAGCATGAACTAGGCCTGGTTTGATGAGATACAGGGTGTCAGTTACAATTTTATTTTCTATTTTTCCTTATTGCTTGAGAATTATTTCAGATTTTGGCATAAAACTCCGTATAGGGAGGTTTTCCAGTATGAGAAATAAGAATCCGTTATTTTTTATGACCAAAGTTCTATACGGCGCCACTTACAGCACTAGTTCGGTAAATAACTTATCATAATTTTTTGGTGTATACAACAATTGACCGAACACATCTTATTTTATCGTATTTCCTCAACAAAAAAGGTTTACTTGTTAGAAGAAGAAGAATTCTCTGTCGAAAATCATCTACAGTTTCCATTGGCGTATTGTAAACGCGTCGTTTTAAATCACCTAAGAAGAAGAAATCCATAAGATTTAAATCTGGTGATCTAGCCGGCCACGATACAGGTCCTGATCGGCCTATCAACTGGTCTGGATAAACTCTATTTAGGTGCTCTCTAACTACTATACTAAAATGAGGTGGAGCGTTGTCGTGCATAAACCACATATTCATACGTGTTTGTAATGGAAGATCTTCCAGCAGAGTGGGTAATTGTTCTTTAAGAAATTGTAAATACCTTTCGCCATTTAGTCTAGGTGGTAACTCAATGGGTCCTATTAAAGATTGTCCAATTATTCCTGCCCATAAATTAATTTGAAATTGTACTTGGTGGCGGGTTGGTACTATTGCATGAGGGTTTTCGTCTGCAAAAATGTGAAAATTATGCGAGTTAATGGGTCCATCCCTTCCAAATCCTGCTTCGTCCGAAAATTCTACCCTTGCGAGTTCATCATCCGCGCTTAAACCATGTACTTTTTGCAGGTATTCACTGTACATTTGGAAATTTGAAGCAAAAATAGAAAATAAAATTGGACTAACTTTTGAACTAAAGTATGCTTAGGTCAATTCACATATTTTGGTCTGTAGTATCTCCAGTTTCGAAATTTCTCAACCTTTCGCAGTATATTAAGAATTTTTGACGCCTGGCGCTTATATACAGAAGAGTAAAAAGGTCTCGGTATGTCCGATAGCCAAAGGTTTTCGCACAGATCCGATTAGCATTATGTGTTTTATTGATTATATTTATAAGACAATTTCTATGAAAACAATTATTCAGAACGTGATTATGAATGAAATGTATTATCGTGTGACATTCGGATATTTTCGTAAATAGCTACTTCTCAGAAGAAGATCAATAAACCTGAACAATCGTTTTCGCCTTTATGCCATATCAGTATCAAAATAAGCTTATACTTTGTAAGGTTAAGTAAATATTTTGTATTTAATATAATAACATAATAAATCATATAAATTTCGGGTATTTTAAACACAACCAATTTTCACGCATACGATGGGAAGTGTATCTGTGTCCGCATTTGCTGGTATATTTTTATTGGAGTAGCCAAGATCATAGCAGTAAATTTCTTTTAGATATCTTGGACGCCCTTTTTGGAGAATGGCGGATCCATGGTGAGCGAGGGGGGGGGAGGTAGAACTGGGGGAGTTTCCCCTCAGAAGAGAATGTTCATCACGATATGCCATTTGCTCTCAGAAGTAATGACGAAGCCGGTACTACCTCCCCCCCCCACTCCGCACTCCAATTGTAATTGTAGCCACCTCCCCTTTGGTCTTAAATAATTTTTAATCGCCGATTTTCGTTCCATTCCTCTGTTTTTTTTTTTTCGTGTGATGCTTGATCAGTCACGGCGTTTTAAAAAGATAATAATTGTAATTGAAAGTAGAGAAATGTTCCGAATTATTATGTGGAATCCAAGAGTATTACATTGATATACGAAGCTTGTAGTAAATATAGTGTTTTATGCAGCTAATTTTCTTTAGTTTATGATAAAAAATGAGACTTCCCTCTATACTACAGCTGTAGGAACAAAGTTATAATTAACTCTTAACTGTTTGTATTATCAGATATTAATAAATAATAATTTACTTCGTGTCCGTATCTTCCATTGATCGTATTTCGTTATGAAAAATAATTAACGGTAAATTGTAAATATCTATCAAAATATATTTAAAATCCTTCTTAGCACTTAAAAATACACATAATAATGTAGCTTGTAAATGCAATATCTCGCAAAACAGCCGATCTAGGCCCAGTGCGCCATGTAAATGTTGGTCTGAAAAAAAGGTTGAAATCGCTTTAAAGTAAACTAATCTCAAAATACCCTTCAAGGTTTTCCTTAAATGAATGACAACCTTTTTGCCCGGATAAATTTTCAGGTTTTTTGATCATTCCGAACAAAAGAGGTGTCCATTAACTTTTCTCTAAAGGTGACGATGTTCAAGTTATAAGCCATTTAATGTCTGAACACCTCTAAAACTTGGTATTTTCAATGCTTAAAAACTCGGTTGAAAATTATAATTTTTGAGGCTATCCAAATTGAAGTTTAGATCTTGCATGAGAGGACTCCGAAAAGTATTTTGAGATTACTTTATTTTAAAGCGATTTTTAACCTTGTCTGTTGGCCAAAATTGACGAACTTTTGATTTTCACAGACGGTACATAAAAATGGCTATCGACGTAACCTATTTTAAAACTTCCGGAATATTTTAACACACTTTAGGCGATATTTTGAAGTACAAAATTAAAAACAAGAGTGGTCGAAGTTGCCCGAATTTTGGTTTGAAATGCTTACTTCCGGTTTTGTTCGTTCTTTTATTTTGAAACTTGAAACTTGATTTTGAATAGTGAAGTGCAGAAAATGTCTCATATAAAACGCTATATATGTCTTATGTCTTAATATAGTACTGTTCGAAGTCAAAAAATTACTCCAGAAAAATCTACCAACTTCAATTATCGTTATTCTTCAGAAGCCCATAAGATTCTTTTTTTTCGTTGCCTGCTTCATGTGAAATTCCCAATATGTCACAAGTATCTCATATTACCTTACCGATAAGGTCCAGATGCAGTGTCAGTAGTAACGCTTTTGTCTGAGCATAACCAGGTAGCACTTTGCTATTTCAGCAGTAAGTTAACCGAGCGCTGCATCATCATCTCTTATGTTTACATCATTGAGATTTTCCAATATTCCAGCCCAAACGTTAATTTGGATATTGAGCATGAGTTTCCCGGAAGACGTGACGCTTGGTGTCACTCCAATAACGACAATTTTGTGTATGCACATTACCGTTGAGAAGAAAATTTCTTTTTCATTTAATGTACATTCATCAGTAAAACAAATATTTTAGATATAGGTAGGATGCCGTGCAATGGTTTCCGTCATAGTCTATATAGCAGAATTCTGTTCTTCGATCAGTATCATCATCAGTTAGCTGATATACTATTTGAATTTTCTATGGGTGATACTTATTCGTTTTCAAAAGTCTCCATACAGTAGGACAAACCTCACATACATTCGCGATAGAGGAAGTAGACTGTTGGAGTTACTATGATATCACCAATTAATTGGGGGATGGTCGGATGACCTGGGGGCTTTTTGTTGTTTACACTACCAGTAGCTGTAAAATTAGATACAACTTCCCTTAAATATTTTCTACCGATAGGATGATTCGGGAAACGATCATTAAAAACCCTTTCGGTCTCGTGAAAGTTACGCGTAGCACCATAAATAAAAATCGCTTCGATTTTTTTCTTCCAATAGACGAGAATTGACCATTTTAAAAATAGTTAAAACAGTGTCTAGC